CTGTAAGCAAACTGTGGCAAAAAAAGTAATATTTGTGTAAGCATACGCCCTCATAAATATCTGATTATATTTATGGATGCTTATTTCTTGTTGAGTGATATATGCTCTGAATGTATACTTTATTCCAGCATGAATTGCTTTTAGCTTGAAAACCTCCAGCAGCATAGGTACCTTCTTTTATTAGGATACAAATTTTAACAGCTGTGGCTGACTGACAGGATTAAATAAAGAACATCTAATCTATCTGGGCCATGTAACACTGTCTTTTATTTCACGTTAATTATTGAACATGAGTTCAGCTTGTGTCACAGGCTATCAAGCAGGTCTATAATTGAAGCAATAAATTAGAAGTTGATTTTTTTAATGGTGTGGTCCTAAACAGATAATGCTGTGTTCAGCTGCAGCAGTCCCCAAAATACCAAGGATCCTACATCTTTAGAAATCACAAGAACAGTATTGAGAGGGTGAAAATGAACATGGCAACCGTACACCATCCAGGGCCTGGGGTCTGTGTGATCGATGTTTTAATCTCTTTCAGAATATAGATGATGGATGGATGGGTGGGTGGATGTCAGCTCTGCAGTGTCTGGGAATATAATGGCACTGATGCATAGGGTTCCCAATGTAAAACACACAGATGGAATATAGTTCTGATGATTCAAAGAACAGAGTGGCAAGCAGATTCAGACTTACTACAGATTCAAATTTACTATGACAATGTGACTTGATAATCAGTCCCAAACCAATCATTTGGAAGCAGGAGGAAGCCCCTAACATTAACCAGCCAGAAAATCCAGGAGAGATGTATTGCTACGACTTCTGAATAACTGAGAGCTCAAAGGTAGTAATTCATTTTATAGCATATAACGTGATATTACAAATAGGTCTTACAGACAAGACAAGCTCTTCTGAGGGAAAAACTGGCTTAGGAAATAAAACATGCATGCTTATAAATTCAAAGAATATAAGCTTGTTATTCCTAATAATACTGCTAATATAATAACCTTGTTCACACATGATTGATTTACAGTAGTTTTAACCTACTATGGAAGTTACCCAGTACTACAGAAGAAAGAAAAGTATGTTTATTTCAAACAAGGAGAGTGCTTACTTTCATGCTAAAGTTTAGATTATGGTTTGTTTTTTTTTTTTTCCCAAGGACTACTTTTAATCTGAGACAGATCCTTCTCCTCAAAATGGTTTATTAAACTGAAGGATGTGTCTTAACAATCACATTATTCTTTCCCCAGCGTTCAGTTTGCTCATGCACAGGGCTGCACTCATTCTTAGCGGACACGTCATCTCCTGGAGACTTGCAGGAGTCTGAGCAATTGCTTTTAATTTAGAAGCAGCAGAAACTTCTTCTATCCTTTACACTCTGTAAAGCTCCCAGGGAATGATTACCGCCAAGGATTTCTTTTAATATCACCTTACTTAGGACAAAGAAATTAAAGAGAAGAACACAAAAGGGGTCAGAAGCCCTCTAAAGGAAACGTGCTTACGTGATTTCCCAGAAGAACAGCAGTGACTGCAGGTATAAATTCACTGAAGAAAACTTACCACAAGCCAGGCTGAATCCACACACTTGAATACACTGCTTTATAAGCTGTTACTCTCTTTTCCACATTGTTCTATTTTGCACTATTCAAGGGGATATGTGAGTAAAGAGTAGTGCACACTTCACAGGTGAAGTGATGATCTCTGGAGGTCCCTTCCAACCCCTACAATTCTGTGATTCTGTGAAGAAGAGTGAATTTATTCTATTTGCAAAACATTCTATATGCTAAAACTCCTGAGTATTAGCACCAGATGTACACTCAATGCCTCACTTGATGAATGTCGTCTCTGATCTCTTGTGGGCTCCAGAGAATTTATGTCAGGTCAATAAGGCTTCAGATTTACGTACACCTTTTATTTCCTATTTAATATATTTATAAACTGTGACATAAATGCCTTAAAGTGAATTCAAAAGAATTGAAGAATATAAATAAAGATAAAACTACATAGATAACCCACGGAATACATACAAAAGAAAAGTCCTGAGGCAGAACATTAAAAAATAAAAGAGAACATCATAAGAAAGAGTGTTAATGTCAGTTATCTCTCTTGAGACAGCAGCTGCTTAGGACACAGGAGGAGGATAGGAATCACCTTCCCTTTCTTCTGCACTAAAGACCTGACATTCAAAATCCCCCTTGTCTCAACTTTACAGTCGGAGAGCTGAAGGGTCAGCTCTAGAGTGTGGATTGCAGTGCCTGTTTTAGACCTACACTGTTGTGAGATGAACCATGTCCTCTAGACCTAGTGCTGATTTCTCTTCAGGACTGTCAGAGGTCTCAGGAGACTAACTTTACACTTGGTGTAATGAATCCCACTTTCTAGATCCCAAGTTAAGCAGAATTCAAGCTTAGTTACTAAAGAGATGACTATAAACTCTCTGCCTCCAAAACACATTTAACATTTGCTGTGAAGTTTCACATCATTGGCTGAGCTATCCTAAACTGCGAGATGTCTTCTGAGAGATGAGAACAGCTTTGTGCACCCCAAGGTAAGCTCCAAGAACATCCATAAACTACCAGTTTTGTCCAGCCACTGCCAAAGGCAGCCTCACTACTAGGTTTATTTTAAAGCCCCCTCACCAGAAGGGACTGCCTGCAGCCAGATGGAAACTATGATGTGGCTGTTGAGAGACAAAGTCCTCAGCCTACAGATGGGAAAATAGAGAGGTGGAACCCAGCAGATGGTGGGGGCAAGACAGGGCACCAGTAGATGGCCACATTCTCCCTTTCTAGCTGTGGCTCAGAGCAAGAAAGAATCATTCATAATTTTCAGCCTTAGAGCCACACTGCAAAAAAAATGACACTTAAAGAATGCTTTGCCAGACAGCAATATGCTGAGATGCAACACCATTCAAAACTTCTCACTCTTGTCTAAAAGTAAGTAGTGCAAGTGCAACCCAAGTGAACTTCAAGGAATTCTCTGCTGAAATTCCCATTTACTCTGCTCCATGTTCCCACATCATGACAGAACAGCTCACACCTGAATTTCTGATTAATTGTTGATTAAATATTCTTTGTACACCACCAAAGAATCAGACAAACAAACAAAAATAAAACCACACTCCTCTCTTTCTATCGTTGATCCTTTGATCTCAGTTCTTGAGAAGCCAGGGTAACAGCTGGTCTGGGTCACCAGATTGAAACAGAGCTGCTGCAGCATGCTGTGAACCTGACCCATCATCTGTAAAAATATCCTCAAGTTTTTTACTAGAGTTCAGAAGATCTTAAAGAGGGTGCCAGTCAGTCTAGTTTCCAGTACAGGAGCAAAAGTTCAAGATGCTATGCGTACAAAGACAAGACAAAAAAAGTGTTAAACAATTTTTATACAAACATTGATCTTTTTCTCTGCAGAAAGTAACTTTTCCTGATTATTTTATATTACCATCATTTATGCCAATCCCCTGTATTTATCCATATTTAAGGATACAAATGTTCATAAATATTTTATCTATATTTATGTGTAAAGGAACACACTGTCCCATGGTTCACCATTATACTGACTGGTAAGATCCAGGACACAGCCTGGGGAAAGAAGATATTCTCTTTATTCACAAGAAAAAGCTGCTGCAAGAATGACAGACTTAAGTAAAGCTACCAGCTGGCTGGCCTGTTAAGAATACAATTGCACAAATAGATGGGAGTTTCTTGGTTTAATCAGGCCATATGAAAAAGGTCAGCACTGAAAAAACCTTCCATGCATTATCTGGTTTTGATAAGGGGCTTTAATATTCATCGGATTAAAGACTAAAGGAAAAGGTTGTTTCTAAGAAGACACTAGATAGCATTCTTACACATCTGAGTTGCCACTCAAAAATGTAATTGTGATTTATTAAGGACTGCAGAAAATACAATCACTGGCTACTCATTTTTATTCTGACCCATAGCAATGAGAGTCCTGAGCAAGAGACTGAGTTACCATGGTCTGAGCCTCCAATTTCATCACCAGATCTTGTATAAAGATTTTTACAATATGAAAAAAGCATTAGATAGGAACTGATAGGCTTCCACAAGAACCCATTTCCCTTTTCTCCAGATGTTTTAACACCATGAGCACCTAAAGCTAATGGTGGCATCACTTCCACTGAACACCCTAAGTTTTGCTCCCTTTTTTTTTGCCTGAGCTGCATCATCATTTTATTTTCCAAGTTTATCTTTCAGGTAGCCATTAAGATACAGTGTGCACTATTTCAGGTTATTTCTTCCATGTACTGCATATATATTCTATGTCTAAATAACACTTCTTTAAAAAAAAGAGAGAAAAGAGAAAACTTTGCTGCTAAAATAAGATATTTTGGCTTCAGTACTGGTGAGTTCAAGCATGGAAAAAAGAACAGAGCAAAGATTACTTGAGTAAGTATTAACAAGAATGAGTTTACGTGAACTGTTGATCCCAGCAAACAGCTTTGCCATGTTTCTAACAAGTTCTTTGTAACTGAAAGGGTCTTGATGGAAAACAGGCTCTGAGAGTGTGGGTTAGTAGGATGTATACTGATGTCCAGTTTCCCTCTAGGCGTGCAGATAAACCCATCAAGCTCAGATAATGCCATTTCACTTGAGCAGTCCTTGGATACCAAGCAACAGGTAATTAACACAGATCAATTGTTCAGATATGTTATTTAAGCATGCTTGCTGTTACCAGCCCTTAATTTCAAAAAAAAAAAGAAAAAAAAAGATTTATGGAATAAGAGGAAATATTAATCGTTCTATATGAATCACTCAGCAAGCTCAGACTCCCAGAGGGCTTCAGCTTGGCAGGACACCAGTATACAAACACTGGCCTGCCACTGTACAGCTTGGAGCTGGTTTCTATAAATGACAGTGTTTAAAGAATTTGAAAGACCTTGTTGCTGATACAAACCATCATCTAATCTTTTACATCAATCAGCAGAAAATTATTTGGCATAATATCATTCCTCATTTGCCTATTCAGTGTTAAGAAGTTTCAAAAGGAAAGCCTTTAGATGATCCATCTTTCCTAGGGCTGTTGTAGGTAACACTGTAAATGAACACTGCTAAATCATTAGCATTCCTCCCCTGCAGTATCTAAAATCTTGCATTTTTACTTAGCAGAAGTAAAAAGCAATGGATAGAAAAGTCAGAACTTTGTTATCTGCACATCTTTAATTTTTTCTTATTGTTGTAGGAAGAAAGTGTTTCTTAAAGAATTAAAAAACCCAAAGGATTTTAATTCAAATCTATGGCTTGTAAAGCAAAGCTACAAAGTGCTAGCAAATAATCTATTGGCCTGAGGAATTTCTTGAGTCCACTACATATTATGCAGCTCCTTTTTGGAAATATGTCTGTAAGTGCCTGTTCCCACAACTAAAACTGTGCGTGTCTGCAGATCTTGTTCAGGAAACAACCAATTTTAACAGAAGGAAAAATGGGGCCAAATAACCTACTTAGCTGTAACACGAAGCATAATAGATAAACCATACTTATCTTTGATAGAAAGAGAGTGGAGTGGGAAAGGCTTCATTTCATGGTAAGATAGTATGGTATTTATGATAACAGGCTATCTTACCATCACACAATATTATGATTAATACCCTTATTATTAACATGCTTCATGTATTATCATCTGACCTCTAGCCGACCTGAGCTACCAGTTCATGTAATTTACTGTCAGCAAGATGAAGCTCCAAAAAAGTTTTTGCAAAGTGCTTTAAAGCATCATTTTATCAATATGAAAGTTGTAGTGTCAAGTAATGTGTTTTTCTACATTGAAATATCCTAGTCTTAAATAAAACAACTTGTGACAGGACATCAGCCAGCATTAGAAAGAATAGGAAGCCAGATTAGAGCAGAATTCCAGATGTTAGATACTCATAGGCTTCTCTGCTTAAACAGTGCTTTAAAACATCATTTTCAGAGTCTATTTCCCTTGACACTTGGTGTGTATTTTCTAAAGAGGTTTTGGATGAAGACCAATTCAGTTACTGCCGTAAGCAATTGCTCTGTTACATTACTGAGCAAATTAAGATGGGTTTCCCACCATGAGGAGCGAATATGTGCATTAATACTTTTTCAAAACCAGTCATTTTGTTTCTGGCTTTGGAGGAGCAGCATCAAAAAAAAGCAATAATGCATTATGAACCAATTGGAGGTAATCAATGAAGGCAGAGAAAAAACACAGAACAGTGTCACAAATTAACGTGTGTTAAAAAATGCCCTTTCTTAATAAAAGTGATTAAAAATAATGATAGCTAGGAAATTTGAATAATTGAGTTTCCAAAAATATCAGCCCTGGTTGGTAGGATCCCAATATAAATGGCATAAATTAAGTGTTTAGGGTAATTCGCAATCAAGCTCTGTTAAATTTTCCAAACTCAAGTTATCTTGGCTCACACATGCCTCCTTCCTGCTCCTCCCCATTACCTCATGTTCCATCAAAGGCTCACACAGACCAGACCACATCTATTTCTGAGTCAGGTTCACAAGGAAGCTCTACCACAGCTATGCTAGAGCAGCTGGCCTGGCACTGCCTTCACTTGTTTACTGCAGGAATATAGGGGTTTGTCATCTCAGTATCTACCCCAGAAGCTCTGTTATGGCACTCACAATGCCCAAGCAGTCATCTAAAGAAGCACTTTGAAACAAGTCCAATAAAACTGCTAAAATTAAACCGGAATTCGAATAAAGGGCTTAAAAGTAACAATTGAAGGATGGTGTTTTATGGATAGTACCATCTACAGGAACACACAGAATATCCTGTTGTAAGTCAGCTCATTGAAAGAAAAAAAGAAAAAAAAATCCCACAACATTAAGGAATTACTAACAGCAGAACTACTGTCACATATACATAAAGTAGGAATTTAGGAAGTCCATGCCACAATATCTCCTTAAGTTCCTGTCACTCAAGCCAGATATTTTTTCAGAAATTGCCAATGCACTCTGAAGAAATGGGTTGTATATAAAAACAAGTGATTTAATAGATTGTTTCACAGTTAAAGGAAAAACAAATCATAGACAAGCGGTAAAGCAAAAATTGAGAAGCACCCTGGCTGTTGAAAACTCTGCTGGTTTCAGTTATCTAAAGTCTTGTAACAAATTCTGATCTTAAAAATGATTAAAGCTCTCTTTCATGTAAATTTTCCAGGCACCTCAAACATCTAGTAAAATATTTTTGGTTTAAAAAATAAGCAGTACTTTTTATACATACAAAGTAGTATTACAATGGGAATATCACATTGCTAAGCTGCTTTACCTTGTTTTATTTCTGAGGTTTTTATTCTTTCCCATGCAGCTGATTTCTTCCCACAGGATTTCAACCTTTATTACTTGCTGACAACATGTCTGACAAAGAGCTTTTTGCTGTGGTAGCTGAGGTTGAGCCATCTGTTTTTTCTCTAGAGAGCCATGCATTATTTGTAATGACATCTTTCTCTTTAATTCCCTGGGGAATAGCACTTGCATGCTGATTTCCTATTTGACCCCCAAATACATCATCCCATTTGGACAAGCAGTCCCTCCCCTGCATGGACCAGTCACGCTTCAAAAGCTCCAGCGTGTCCTTCATCTTTGGGAGTGGAGGCCAAGGTGTTTCCTCATGAGTCACAGACAGGTTGGGGTCAGCCTTTGAGTTTGTATTGGAGGAGACAAATGAAGGCATCTGAGGAGGAACAAAGAAAATATAACCTCGGACCTCCTAGTGTATTTCTGTATCCTATATGAAAACGTGTCACTTTGGACACTGTGTTTGATTTCAGTTGTAGCTTCCCATAAAATTCTACAATAGGTCTCTGTCATGCTATTCCTGTGATTTAATCAAAGGACACGTGGTGTAAATGTATTAAAAAAATAAATCCAGGAATTATCGAAGATCAGGGTCATCAAAGAGCTGCTTGCATTCTGCTCTCTCTAATAATTTTCCTCTACAACCATATTTTCATCAATCCTTTTTATATATGACTGTGATAAAGAAGACCGCTGGGAAATCAGTTTAAGCTGTCGCATGTAGCCCCTGGATTAAATAATTACGAGTTCTGTATGTTACCAGAATTCTGAGTCAACATTATTATATAATAAACTTCTTAACTAAAGACAGCCATTAACATCTTACTTGAATTTTTTTTTAATGTAACAATTGAAAAGTAGGAACTACATCCTGCTTGTTTTATTTCTTTTATTTTAGCAAGGAAAATTCAGTACAGCAATATTCATAACTGCTCTAGCTAACTAGCTCCAGTAATTACAAACTCAAATTTTGTTTCTGTATAAATATGGAGAGGTTATGTTGTCTTAGACAGGGTGAAATCTCTTGCGTGTTTAGTTTAGCAGCAGCCTGTCACAAATGCAATTGCAATTGATCAACTTTGTTCTAAACAGGATTCCCGCAGTTAATGGAAATTACTGTAAGAGCTTCAGGGCATAGGAATAATTGGATCACTAAAAAAACAAAATGGAGGGAAAAAAAGGTAGGACAGAATCAACACAGTAATTCCTCCTTTTTTTTTTTTTTTTTTTTTTTTTAACATCGAGCAACTTTCAGAGATAACCTTAGCAGAACGTACACCATGATGAAAACAACTTTCAATCATTTTTATCAAACCATTCTTAGGCAATAAGAAAATGCATAATGAAAACGTTAAGAATTTATTATCTTCAGCTTGTTTAAACTAACGATAAAACATGCATCTCTGGAAGAGACCATTCAAATATTTATAGGATCTGTAAAATGACTGTCAAGAATACATTTAACTAAAATAACAACAATGAAACAAACTTTACTGACCTGGCAGTTTCTCTGATGGTTTTGTCTTAGTTCCCGATGCAAGGCTATGATCCTCTCTGGACTTGTTAATTTTACAGGAGAACTGGTGTATATATTTGGAGTGATGTGAGAGCTGTGGATGCCATCTGCCTCTTGCAGAAAGGTTGCAGGTATTGACCGCGACATTCTGCTCACTTTGACTGAAGCCTCATGATTCTCTGACTGCCCACTGGCCTCTGAAATGTCTGTGGAAGAAGGCAGCATCTGCAAGACAAAATGCCATCTTTAGAAACTCAGAGATGAAGCTTTCCAGCACTGTTTATTTTGAGTAAGTGGAAGCTGTTTGGATTAATTCATTGCAAGAAACATTCACAGAAATCAAATGTAAAGTAATGATATTTATCAAAATAAGTAGTTAATATACCAATTACTTGAAGCGTGAGGCGTTCTTCTTTCTTTCTAAAATGCATTCCCCAACTCTTCCCCAAGAACTAAAAATTCCAAATTTGCACCTGAATATTTGGAAAAGTAGAAAAAACTAAGAAAAAAACCACTAATTTTAAAGATTTCACAATTTATCCTCTTGACAGATTTCAACTTCTATAGCATATTTCCTTTACGCATATTATCTTACTCAGCAGCAAATCCAATCCAAGCTTGTCTACTTAAGAATGCTCAAGGAAGTTAAGTTTAATGGATTTTAAAAGTTCAGTTGCACAAATTCTTTGGCACATCCTCTTATTCCATATTTAAATCAACTTAACTGATTTTACTGTACAAAAACAAAACTGACGTCACATTAAGACAGAAAGGTGGCTTGATTGATAATGTACCTTTTCATAATAGTTGCCAACAGGAAGAGAAGATTTCACTGCAAATAAATGACTATCACAAAGAAGTAGAATTTTGTCTTAAATACAAATTTATTAATGAAACCAGATTAATGATACATTTTTTTCCTTGTAGTTGCAAAGAAAATGAATTTACAACTTTTAACAATATTTTCAGGCCTTTGTTTTTGCTTGTTTGAATTACTTCCAAAATTAATGCATCTGATTTCAAGTTATCACTTCACTGTCATTAATTCTCTTGCAAAAATTCCAGAAATGCAAATACTATAAATCCAAATCAGGAATTGTTATTTAAGATAAAACACATTTTACTTACAGAAGTGTATTGCTTTTTCTCTCTATGTCTTTAATAAGCATTAAGTACATCACTTGTGTCCATTCAAAAACAGACAGACAAACAAACAAAAAAAATAAGGGATTCTGATGCGTTATAATGATGTAAACTTGTTTTGAAGTGATCCCCCAGATGTAATTATCATTTATTGGCAAGCAAATCCACCAAAATAAAATGCTGTGACAGCATAAAGGAGAACGTACAGTGTGTGAATTGCTGCCATTGCCAAGGAAAGAAGTTTCACCACCTTGCTGAAGTGATAATCATGGAGCTTTATGTGTAATATACAACTTGCAAGGAGGTCAAGAGCTCCAATACCAGGAGCATACAGATGCCAGTGGTGCTGTATTGTGCTATAGCCTAGGTGATGCTCAGGAGACAAGCTAGTCTGACCGGAGAAAGCTCATCACTCTTCTGCCCTGCTTACAAAACAACACTTTTGGCTCTTAGGCTCCCTAAAGCATGTGTCTTGTGGTTCCTAAATACACCAGTATACTGGTAACCTGGTCACAGAGTCAGGCGTATTAATTGTGCCTGTCCATCTCTGGATCTGGTGTGCTACAGGACAGAACTTTTCCCAGACACAGCACATAAGAGAGTGTGAATGACAAACATAATTGACGGACACTGACTTTGATCCAATTGTACCTTACATTCTTGCCTCCTCATCATAAGAGGGGTGAACCAACACTGAATTCTGGCCATTGATCCCATTAAAATACCAAATGCAATTTGTTTTGCCAGCTGAGATGACAACTAGTCCTTGACAGCAGTCACTACCAGTCTCTTTTACTTCAGGCTGAGCAGCAGTTGAGGCACAGGACAACAACATCAAGGAACTGAAAGACCACTCACATGGACCAACTTTGCTGCTCCTCCCTAGAGGATTTGTTCTTTCTCTATGCTGATTATACAGACAGTTTGTGATCTAGATAGGGTTTATTTAGGCAGGGTGGCATGAAAACCCAATGAAATCATAGCATCAATACCAGTATTGATCAGTTGGAAAGCAAAAGCTATACATTGGATGTTCTCCTGTAAACACTGAAGCCAAAGGAATCTCCAGAAGTCCTTGACTTCTAACCAAAGTTATGAAGGCAGTGACTGTCACCAGCACTCACAAAAAGTGCTGGCTGGCTGAAAGAGGGGTTACAAAAGGCAGCCCTGACATGTTCTGTGGCATGAAGAAATTAGATCTAAAATTATTTGATGACAATTTTCTCACTACAGGAAGCACAGTTAGAGGCACCCTAGTGATAGATGAGACTCAGCAGGAGCAGCACAACTTATGGAGTCCAACGACCCGTGCAAAGGCAAATCACTGTCCTCCTCAGTAGGCAGGATTGCTGCTAAAGCTACCAGGAAAAACACATCTGTGTCAAAGCTGTAACAGTCATACATTACATTGCTAGTAAAAAATAATCTTTTTCAAGTCTCTTTCTTCTATTTCCCTCAAATATTCAACTCACAAACTCTTTTGAGTTCCAGGATTACTGAATTCTGCAGCAGCCGATGTATCAGGGATCAGCAGAAATGTGGGTTATGAGTTAATGCAAACCCTGATGAGTGGAACTGCTACCACACTGACAAAGTGTTCACAGAAAGGTCAGTATATGAAAACTGGTATGATTCTTTCAAAAACGTTCATCTTTAGCATTTCATAAAGCTTTGTGAAACACTAAAAATCACTTTTTCTCTAACTCTACGGACGTAACCAAGCACTATATTTATGAATACAAAAATTTCAGATTTTTGTCTCAGTGTCTATGTGTGAATTTCTTTTGTTAGATAATTATCACACTTAACATTATTAATTCTATTTTACCATGATAATTTTTTCTTTCCTTTAGTTTCCACAAATTATCCCAGCTGGGAAAAAAATGGAAGTATTGTGACATCCCACCAAACTTGGCAGAATGCAAATTTACACTTCAAGTTCTTGAAAGGATCACTTTTTAAACAACAATAATAAGAAAAAAACTACTCTTTCTCATATTACAAACAGAAAAAGATACTGGTGTCAGTGATAGAATAAACTTTGAGTTACTGTGGATAATTTTAACTGAACATTTTATCTTAATAGAAATTCCAAACAGCTTCACAGTTAGTTTATCTATTTTAATCATGGCTATTCTACCACTTTTACCACCATGTATTTTCTGTTCTACTCTACGAGAACAAAAACCACTGCAAAAATATCCTTTTTATGCATATTGTCAGAAAATAGATCTAAATCTTTGTCAACCAGACCCAATTTTACTTAAAAATGTTGCTAACCTTGACTATGTACCTACTCCTCAGTCACTACAAATTCTTGGGATTCCCTCTCTACAGACATTTACATAATTATTGAATGGCTCTATCAGTCATTCCACTGGAAATGACAGATTGCCCTTAACAGTTTTAAATCCATATTTTATATCCTTCATTGTTTTAAAATATTTTTGAGGGTCAAAAATAACATTCCTCTGCAATGGATTCTACCCTTCTTTAAGAAAATGACTTAGTAACAACCACTATCATGGCTCTTCTGTCAGCTTGGAATTCCAATCAAATCACCTTGTCTCACCAATAGACTAAAAACTCAGAGTCCCTCACTTGAAGTGTGGGACCTAACTATCCAAAGCATATCTCTTTCTGACTCTTGTTACAACAGAGAGAAAGTCACTTTTTAGAATTTTCTTACCACTTCTAAGCAGATAAAATGGGCAGGGTAACTGTTGGTCAGTGCCTCTTTCTTTCCACTAAGTATGGAAAGAAGCACAGATGTAGCTGTCTGAACTACTGGCATCAAATGTGAATTGTATCTCATCTCAAGTGTCAGAAAACCTGATCTCAACACTAATGTACAAATCGTTTCACGGAGAGTGTAAGAGTATTATTATTGCAGGCCTGCTTCCTTCAAATATGATTCACAGGAAAGCAGTAAGTGCCCTCTTGCAAAGAAATATACAGAGAGAACATACATATATAGATCTGTATATATAAATAAAAAACATCGTCCTGCTGAAAAGTACCTCTGAAGAAATCCCCTGATAGAAGGGATGATTAGACCACACTGTTTTGCACATTTATTTCTATTCTGCGAAACACATAATTCACTGCACTGGACACATTCTCTGCCTGGAGCTTTCCATGTATGAGGTTTAAGATGACTTCATGAAAGGCAATAAAAAGCACTACCATTTATCGTTATATTCATTGCACAAATCACCTCTTGGATCTGAGAGAAGGGGGCAAGAAGCCACAATGGCTTCAGATCCACTATGGAAAGAGCATACCAAATACATCATCAAGTCAAAGGCTTCCTGTGCAAGAGAAATTGAAGTGATTGAGTACAGCAGCATTATCCATTACAACCATTAGTCATCTGAATGGAGGCTGTTGACATAAAATCATAACTGGCTGGCTCAGACATTTGTGGGAAAGAATTGAACACAGTCCTGTTTCTCCACACACACTCTAGAAGAGAGAAAAAATGCCTGAAAATACTACATAAGTGCACAGTCTGGGGTGAGCTCACATGAAGGGCAAGCCAAGCTCTCTTGCTCCTCTGTGTGGTTCTCCAACATACCAAAAGCAGCATGGAGACAGCTTCGTGTATGAGGCTGTAAAACATGTCAAGTTTGTTTCTTAAAGTGCAAGTAGACAGAAATTCAGAAAAAAAGTGTGGGCTCCTATTTCATATTTCCTGTTATTAGCTATCTGAAACATCTTCTCTTCCTTTCCACCGTTACCAAGTCAAGCATGTCAGCTATTGAAAACTCCAGTCCTAGTCTTTTCTGTTACTGTTTTCTGTCCAGTAAGTAGAAATATATATTATCAGCTGATGAATCTGCCCTATGTGCTTTCCATTGAAAAGGGCAAAGAAATAATAACTGTTAATAATATCCATTAATTAATCCTACTTCAGCAAGAAAAGTAAGACAACAAGACCTTTCCAATTGAAAAAAATGAACATTTAAAAGAAGATCATGAAAGTGGGATTTGACAAAAGGATGAAAATTGAGATTGTTCATATGTTTTGTCTGATGTTGAGCCTATGAGCCCCAACCATGGCACTGTGCTGAGGGCTACATGCATCTTCTAGAGGTTGCTCTTGCCCCTGCCATATATCACATCTTTACAGACCACTTTTTAATTTCCAAACACAAAATACAAAGTTTAAATTATTTTTGTTGTCCAAATTTATTATCACTCTATGACAAGAGGCTCCAGAGATTTCTTCATTTAGGCATTTTAAAATGAGAGTTTATCTCAAAGTATAGAAATCGCTGACATTTACTTCTTTGTGCCTCCTAAAATCTTGGACTAGATTGTTATTCCTTTGTCTTCCCAGGAAGCCATGTATTTTTTCAAAATTGAAAGATAGGCTTGATGAAGCTTTTTTTTCAAAACCGTGCACACAATCTTTTCTTTCACTACAGTTACAGTTATGTTTTCTCTGCATGAAAATGAATTTAAATAAAACCTTCAGTTTATCATTACATATGTTTATTATGATACACTGAACTAAAACTAAACCATTTACACTAAATTACTAAATTAAATTACAAATGAAAGAATTTCATGGTGTACAGTTCTACGGTGAGAAAGTGATTCAAAGCCTAGTTCTCTTTATAAGGACTTTCAAAGTATGTTAAGAGAAGGAAAATTGACTTCCTCTTCTTAATAGGTTACAGGTTGGTTTTTCTGTTTGTTTTTTTTTTTGTTTTCTGCATGTGTTTGTTTGTTTTTTTAGACAGATGACTGAAACATTATATACAAGAACAAGGCATACTACATGATTCAAGAAAATTTTAGTTCTCACTCAAAAATATTTGATTATAACATTGGACTGTGAAAATAATTGAGGATGTCAATTCTCAGAATGAGCGCTGCTCTGCTGAACCAATCACAGAATCACAGGAGGGCCAGGGTTGGAAGGGACCTCAAGGATCATGAAGCTCCAACCCCCCTGCCACATGCAGGGCCACCAACCTCCACATTTAATGCTAGACCAAGCTGCCCAGGGCCCCATCCAACCTGGCCTTGAACACCTCCAGGGATGGGGCATCTACAACCTCTCTGGGCAGCCTGTGCTAGCACCTCACTACTCTCTCTATAAAGAACTTCCCCGTGACATCCGAACTAAATCTTCCCTCCTTCAATTAAAAACCATTTCCCCTTGTCCTGCAGTTATCCAACCTTTGCAAGAGTTGATTCCCCTCCTGTTTGCAGGCTCCCTTTAGGTACTGAAAGGCTGCAATGAGGTCACCCCACAGCCTTCTTTTCTCCAGGCTGAACAAGCCCAGCTCCCTCACCCTGTCTTCATAGGGGAGGTACTCCAGTCCCCTGATCATCTTTGTGGCTCTCCTCTAGACCCTCTCCAACAGCTGTCTTTTTTGTACTGGGGGCTCCACACTTAGATGCACTATTCCAGATGGGGCCTCACAAGAGCAGAGTAGAGGGGGACAATCACCTCCCTGTCCCTGCTGGCCACCCATCATTCGATGGAGCCCAGGATACCATTTGCCTTCTGAGCAGCAAGGTCACATTGCTGGCTCATGTTAAGTTTTTCATCTATCAAGACCAACATGTTCTTTTCCACAGGGCTGCTCTCAAGGACTACTCCTTCCAGTCTGTATGGATGCCTGGGATTCCTCTGGCCCAAGTGCAAAACTCTGCACTTTGCTGTGTTAAACCTTATCAGGTTCACCCGGGCCCACCTTTCAAGCCTCTCAAGGTCCCTCTGAAAGGCATTCCTTCCTTCAACTGTGTCAAAATTTACATTTCACTGTAAATTTCCAGTAAAATGAAGTCATTGGGACAACAGTGATTTACAGTGACTGAGAACACAGCCTCCAATGCTGTAAGTGAGGTGACATATCTAAAGATGTTCGGATTTGCATGGCACTGCCTTAGTGTTTTAGTATTAGAGATAGCTATTTGGAATAAAAATACTTCTGGAAAACAGAAGAGAATGCCCAACCATATGCTGTATCCTGAATAAGAAAAAAACTAAATACACTTTTTTCTTTAGTCTTTAGTAACGTGTTGACTTTCATAAGTCCTCTACTGAAGCCACACCATCCTCACACACAACTAGGACAGACTGATCCTATCTTCATATATTTATACAGTTGGTTATAAAAAATAATAATAATAACATGAAAATTTGTTTGAGAAACAGGCACATAATTTTTTACTTAACTATGCAAGACCTGGCACTGAATTGAATGTAGTCCTTCAAAGGGCTCCGGGATCAGCACTCAGAATCATAGAATGGGCTGGGTTGAAAAGGACCACAATGATCATAGAGTTTCAACCCCCCTGCTTTGTGCAGGGTCACCAACCACCAGACCAGGCTTCCCAGAGTCACATCCAGCCTGGCCTTGAATGCCTCCAGGGATGGAGCATCCACAACCTCCTTGGGCAACCTGTTCCAGTGTATCACCACCTTCTGAGTGAAAAACTTTACTTCCTCCTAATATCTAACCTAAACCTCCCCTGTCTCAGTTTAAAGCCATTCCCCCTTGTCCTATCACTATCCACCCTTGTAAACAGTCATTCTCCTTCCTGTTTATACACTCCCTTCAAGTACTGGAAGGCCACAATGAGGTCTCCCCAGAGCCTTCTCTTCTCCAAGCTAAACAAGCCCAGTTCCCTCAACCTTTCCTCATAGCAGAGGTGCTCCAGTCCTCTGATCATCTTAGTGGCCCTCCTCTGGACCCGCCCCGAGAGCTCCACATCCTTCCTGTACTGGGGACTCCAGGCCTGGACACAGTACTCCAGGTGGGGCCTCACAAGAGCCAAGTAGAGGAGGACAATCACCTTTCTCTCCCTGATGGCCACCTTTATACATCCTTGCAAACTTTCAGTTGAAATCCATCGTTAAGCTAAAGCAAGTAAGTCTGACGTCAATACGGAACAGACTTCCATTTGTCACTGGATCCAGAAATGAATAAAGCCAAGTGCAAATCTGTATGTCAAGAAGGAAGAAAAAAAAACACATCCACCAAATTTTCTCTGTAAGTATTCAAGTGCTAGGAAAGATTTAGAAGTTAAAATCTCAGGGGATGAAAAAGAATGAACTTTCAAAGGAGTATTATGTCAGTAAAAGCTGGGAATCTTAGATGTGAATAGCAGTGAGAATAAGAGTTGAGATGAAAAACGTAACTCTTAAAGATGAAAGTTCAGTTCAGTTTAATACATGTTTGCAGGTCCACACAGTTCACACAGAACTGTGAATATGAAACATTCCCTTCTCTTTGTGATTGCAACTACTTATATGTATATTAAACTTGTAGCAGGGCCAATTGGATATTTTCTCACTACAATGTTTTCCATAGGAAAACTTATTCATGAAAACCTATTTTTTTTTCATGGGAACAGAAAAATCTGCCTTGGCAGAAAGGTTTTCTTCTCTTACATGTGGGAATTACTTTCCACAGCCAGCTGAAACATCTGGTCCCAGAATGGTCTGAAGCTTAGCATCATGTTGCTCAGCAAGAGCCAGGCTGTCTTTAGCAAGATTCAGAAAGCAGGTGTGAATCCCCATGTCCCCAAGACCTGGTGGAACTTTTGGCCAATACAGCGCTGGATACCACGTGAAGAGATTTATGCTCTCCTTGGTGAATAGCTAAATGTCTGCTGAAGCAAGCAATTGAATTTGGAGCTCATACCTCCCAAATTAACTCATTAGCCATCCAGAGAACGATTCAGTTTAATGCTATTCTGTTAAGAGCTGTTTTGTGACAATTAGGCATTCAGGGAGACAGACTGAGTGTGTCTTACTATCTGCTCATTCATCACAGCAGTGTTTGAGAAAACATCTGAAGATAGTGAAGTATTTTCTACATTTCTGACAGAAGAGTTACTAACTCTGTCACACAAAACACTCATTCTTAGTGTGAGCTTAGGTAAGACAGTGTTGGGACGTGTCTTGAAACACTTGCAGGAACATAGCTATGTACTATAGCTATATATATAAATCTAGTCTCATCTAGACTGTTTTTTTTTTTTTTTTCTTTCCTTTTAATTTCTTCTTCAATAATGCATCTCAGATTTCTCAGGAATAAAATGCAAAAATACTATTAAAACTCAAATTGTATCAGTTATCTTGCATTATCTACTAGGTCAGATATTTCTTCAAAGTATTAGCTAAAAGTTTTTTGCATGGAGCACAGACGTGATGAGCTCCAGAATATTTAAACCATGACTAAAATTGCAGTAAAGCAACCCAGTCTGCTGCTTGGTCTGAAGCAATATTAAGAGCCCAGAGATATTTTATAACTGTTCACTGAGTCTCACTAAACACTTCACAAAAAATCACTGACAAAACAGCAATGGAAACCAGAGGATCCTGCAAGGACATGCAGATGCTTACCTCTTGATTACATGTTGTTGTAAAAGTGTCTATGTACTCTGCAAGGGCAACGTCGTTCACCAAGCTCCTCACTTCTTCATCAAACTTGGAGTTGTTAAATCCTCTACGGTGAAACTCACCATGCATCCTGATAATGAAGCTGTTCCTTTCCTGGCATTTTCTGGTCAGGCAAGCCAACTTAGCCTATGCAGAATAAACACATAAACAGTGATCTTGTTCCCTGCTCAGACTGAAAAATTATATTCTGAGTCTGGTGAAATTCCACATCTTTCAACCCAAAACTGCGCACTGTAGTCCTATACTTCTAGGTCTTCCAGGTGCTTCTGCATCCTGCAACAGCAATATGTACATACAGATAAACTGAAAATAGGCATTCACTTTTCTATCTGTGAAAACCCACTTTTGCAAGCTATAATAACAGCCAACCTCACCTAAACCACTGGAGCAAACAACTCAGGAGGAACTGCAGAAAGCAGCTACAAAGAGAGAAGATACAAGATGCTGAAAACAAGAGCAAGCCTGCAAACACAGGGATATCCCTTTGCATCAGCCTTCATGATCATATATTACCTTTAGAGGAGCTAGTGTCAACATTGCTTCAGACTTTCTCTTCTGGAGTTCTTTTGTCTGAAAGGTAGAAAAACATACCATATTAATATTTTCACTTAGAAATATTGCAGTAGTTTTTGGATATTTGTTTTAGACTCGACTTCTGAAGCATATACTTCACATAACTGCATGACCTTGTATCACAAACACCCTGCAGTAATGTAAGGAGTTGTTTGTACACTGATAAGCCCTAGCATTGATGTTGGAGTCATGTATTACCAAGTGCTTTCGGATGCTTTTAAATGGAACCCTATATCATCAAAGCCACATCACATTAAAGACTTAATACCATTCATTATGCATTCATACTCCCATTTGATCTGTGAATCCTCCAAAATACTCTTTTGGGGAAAAGTTTTCTCCTTTCTTATTTATGTTATGTTGTAGAGAGCAAGAAACACAGGGAGATTTCCAGCACATTCATTCCATGGCAGGCTTTCATAAGTAAACATCAACAATTTTCTGCTTTGAAATGATGGATACATTTCCCCTAGTATGAGGTGAGGCAGATGACCTGATTTGTACTTCATGATAAAAATGCTTTCTATTTACGAGAAATCTGCTTTCTGATAATACAGAAAATGTAGTATAGTCTGTCAGGTAAAATCTCCTTCTACTATAAATGAATACAGTAATATTTGGAAAAAAAAAAAAAAGAAAAAGAAAAAAAGAAAGAAAAAAAAGAAAAAAAAGAACAGATTCCTTTGAATTCATTTTGTTTGGTTATTTGTATTTCTATGAAGCACACAGTAAATATATAACGTGCATTAAAAAGAAAAAAAGAAAAAAGAAAAAAGAAAAGAAAGAAAAATATTCCCTTTATAAGAACTCAATCACACTGAAAGAGGTCACCCAGCTTTAGCCAATAAATTATGGACTTGGGAAGGAGCACAGTGGATAGGACAGAGAGACGCCCTTACACTTGTACTGAGGGAACAAAGGAAAAGCTGGCAGTCAGTCTCTGCACTGTTGACACTAAATTCTTCATGAGGCATGGAACAAAACACTTTGCTGATGCAACAGAGCAATTAGGAGCTGCCCACTTATGTGGATAGCACGTCTCATCCTTTGCTCACCTACCATCTGATATGCACCATCCATCAATGCAGACAGCAGATACTATAAAACAAATTCATTTTACTAGCACTATTCTGTTGAGAAGCAGCCTAATCAACTCCTCAGAGAGGCCACTAGTTCTCCATGCAGTGTTCTTTAAAGTAAATCACAGCACATAACAAGGCAGTGGATTTACTGTGGAGGAAGGAGAACGAAATTCACACTCTGCAGGAAGAAAATTCTTTGTCTCCTGTATTTCAGAGAAAAGACAGAGAAGAAGCACATCCCATGTGCTCTCTGCAGGGCACAACTGAGAAAACTCTGTTTACTAGTAGTTTCACAGCACAATGGACAATTCCAATTTGGCTCACATTATAACAGTCATCATTAAAAAAAAAATAAAAAATGGTTCCAAAGAAATAGAAAATAAAATCTAAGGAAAAAAAAGCCTTAACAGAAATTTATTCATTTGTCAGAGATCATCTAAAAGATCACTGATTATAGTCACACTGACAGACGTTTGAATATAAGGCAACAGCTCTGCAAGGGTTAATGAGTGTGGCTGCTCTGGTGTGCCTGCTGAAATACAGTGTGCAGACCTAGAAACTGAAATACAGTGTGCAGACCTAGAAACTGTTAATGTAAGTAGACCTGCATATACATTGAAGCTTTTCAACAGAATAATAATGTCAATTTTAAAAAAAAAATCTACACCACGCATACAACTGAATCTCTAAATATGTAATCCTAACTGCTGGATAAAAAAAAAAGCCACAAAATTCTGGTGCAACAAGGCAGCTGGGAATGTTACAAATTCTGACAACGTAAGCCAAGGAGGTGGCTCGGTAAGAAAACTCAGTACTTTTCTTGGATTATGATATGGGAATTACAGAAGAGACTGGTGGCAAGTTTTTATTATAGAGAGACTATCATCTTTCCATAATGTTGACCACCCAGGCAGTTTACATCTTTCCTATTTCTCTGAAGTCAGGGGGAATTTGATATGCCTGTAAACCACTTAATTATCCCCAGACCCATTCCCAGGGAAAAAAAGAACAGAAAAAAAAGACTACTTTGGCTCCTTCTTTTGGGAAGAAAGAAGTAGAATCTGAAGTCTGAGCCCACATCAGTCCACCCATTCTAGAACACGGACATCAGCTTGCTTATACCTTTTCACACAGCTGAGCCTGAAGAAGTTCCACTCTATTTTCCAAGTTGTGAAACTGATTTTGTAATGCAGTCTGGTCCCTGAGCTGGGCTTTCAAGGTCAGTATTTGCTGCTGTAATCTCTTATTGGATATTTTATTTTCCTCCATTTCCTGGGCATTTTTCATGGTGTACATCGGCTAGAGAGCAAACACAGAATTTCAGATTAGATGTAGAAAATAAAATATTTTGAATCATGCTTTTGAGCAACGTATCTACATTTTAACTCAATTTTTTTAAGCTAATACAAAATGTATGATTTCAAATCTTTATGAACATAGGAGAACTAGTATCTTGCAAAAATCTTAGAATTAATTACGAGAAAGGAGTTCTTGATTCCCTCTGAAAATAGGTATAGAACTGGGATTTCACAAAGTTCCTTCAAGGTAAGTATTGTATTATAATCATTTCATACATGGGGAAACTGGGGCACAGAGAGATTAAGTGACTAACCTAAGGTCACACAGTTAGTGAGGACAGAATTCAAAAGTCCCCAGTCTCCTGCTCTAACTGCTATATAATACACCCCTTGGTTTGCACATGTGTTCTTCTCAGAGAGTAAATGGCATGTTTTCAGTTATCTTTTATTTTGGAAGATAATTAATAAAACTAATTTGATTTTAAGTGCACATTTAAAAAAATTAAAAATAAACTATTGCTTTCAAATGATAATGGTACAGAACAAGGGGAAGGAAGAGCTTCTGAATTTAATTCCTCCTCCCCCACTCTCAATAGTCTCCATTTCTTTATTTATTTTTTCAGTTTCATGCAGTTAGATTGAACACATTGGACAGTGCTTTAGATCTGTGATCAGCATCATGAGGACAGTTCCAGAAATTATATTATCAGATTAAACAGTCTGAGAATGATGAAGATCTGAGAGTAAAGACAGTTTTGTGAATAATGCCTGTGCTATTGTGAATTTACATTTAAAAATATTGAGTTGATACAACTGTTCAAGTCTTCATGTAATGTCACATACGCAAGTCTAAAGAGATTGAGCATTTCTGAGATTATGCTAAGAATCCTAGGCAGATCTGTAATAAGACCATAAACTTTCTTACAAAACACTCACACAGGAAGATGGTTTGATTTTCATGGATGTTAACAACAAAGCAGCTGAAAGAAGAGCTAATGTTCAGCTATTGTGCACAGCAGTGCAGTAATTTTCCCTGGCTTAGTGACCATCTTTCCAACTTGGACGCCTTTGGTGACTACAAGATACCAAAGGTACCATTCCAAAGAATACAGAAAACTGAAGAGAGATCACATCATTCTGTCTGCAACTCATTATTTCAGCAGGCAAAACCACAAATACGGTATTTTCATACTCTTCCTAATCAAGTGAGTTTTCCATGTGCAGCATTCTAGTCATTTGCACTTGCTTTTTATCAAATTCTTGGCTCCCCCTTGTGTTAGGAGAATAGAACCAGAGAGACTGTTGGACAAATCAAGGTTGATTAGATCAAGTTTTTTTTCATCTTCTCTCCTACAGAAAAAAAGCATGTTAAATCAGAAATGGAAACACTCTCTGACTGAAGATGCTTAACAGAAAAAGAAGTGGTAAAAAAAATGCTTGAAGGTTGAAGGCAGAGAAGGTTTACCTCCTTCCTTCTGCATTTTGCTGTCACACTGGCAGTTTTCTTTATTTTCAAAAGCACAAATGAGCACACAAAAATGATGTAAGGTTATGACGTCCCAGTTTACAGTAACTGCTGTTCAAGCTCCAAAACGGTCACAAATGCAGAAACTGGGAAATAACTGAAGAATGACTAAGCCCCAATCTTAACTTAATCTAAACTTAAGTGGTATGCACGTCATCCAAAAATCTTGTGTTCTTTTCCAAAGCTGCAAGTAATATTCTGCTTCTTTCCTGCTCACCCACATAGTTCTCCCAACTACTACTATAGTACAGTTCAGAAAGACACAAGAGCAGCCTAGAAAATTTTCCCAAATAAACTTATGCTAAATGATGCTTTCTCTGTTAGCAACACCAATCAAACAAGAAATCCCAGCAGTAACTTTGAGATATAATACCTGCACAGAAAAGCTTAGATCATTAAGGATTTCACACAAACAGATTGATGTTTATTTAAAAGTTTATTTTAAAAGAAAGTGAAAAAAAAGTTTTAATATTTCTTAAAATATGTCTAATTTCTATCTATATCAATATTTGCTTAATTTTATCAATAAGATCTACATCCTTTGGTGAAGATATAATGGACTTAAGTCATACAGATAATTAGTTGATCCATCAGATAGCGTATCTGAAGGATAAACTCATCTCTCTGATATACATTTGCTACAACTTTGACCCTAGAATGAGATATGTAAGTATTTAAAAAATTTATATTAATCCCACAACAAAGATTTAAACTAGACAAAGAAGTAAGAGGCAAGTCAAACAACACTGCAAACCTTCCACTATGGGCAATCTCATTAATTCATCTGAAAATCCATTTGTCAGAGAATTATTCTGGCTAGATAGGGAAAGTTCTAAAAAAAAAATAGAGCTGTCTAAAATGCCCATGCAGAACCGAAACACTGGATTATCCAGTAAGAGAGATGGTTAGCCCAGCATAATATCTCATTACTTTCAAGTTTACATCTGCATTGGCTGTAAGTCTGCATCAAATCTATTGCCAATAACATTAATAGATGTCTCAACACCTGTACAAAGGAATATGGCTTTTCTTCATTGCATTTACATACGTACCGTTAATTTGCAGTGGTGCTTTCCAAGAGTTTTGTCTTCAGCTTCTTGTTTAAGACAGTCTAATTCTGAGAGAACATGTGTTAAATAAGTCTTGATTTCTTCATATCTGGTTTCAGCAAAGCCAAGTTCCCTGTACCATTTCTGAGCCTAATAGTAACGTTAAAAAGCAAAATTACTGAGTGAGGTTAGTTTAGCAGAGATACTGTTTCTCAGCGTTGGCTTACAAACATGGACTTGAACATAATCTCCAAGTTTTAAATTGCTAGAGCTATGATGAGATTAAATTTTTAGGCTGATTTCTAAATTTGAAGTTACCTTGAATGCTCTGAATGAAGCTTAAAATAAAACAGTCTGAAAGCCACCAGAGCAAAAAGGAGAATAAGTGGCAAAAAAAAAAAAAAATCCTCAAAAATGTCAAAATGAAAAATGTAGCGGAGGAAATAAAAACCTGTACATTTATGTTTATATTACTTCTGAGATTCATTTTCCCTACTTCCACATTAACTGCCATTTTGAAACAAACACATTCAGTAGATCATTGACCGCACGATTCTTTCTTCATTATTTCTTCCTTCTGAAATCAAAGGTTTCACATTCTTTTAAGTTAACAAAATAAGTTGTTGTAACACCCAAAGGATTAGAAGGGACTAAATTAATCAGACATTTTAAAATAAGTAAAAATCAAACGATACATTTACACATAAACTCCAAGGGACTGGAGTCTGTCCCTCCATCACTCAATCCCAATCCATCCCTGTACTGCAGTTGCCTCATTTTAATTCAGGGAGGTTTTACACAGTGGTTGCCAAAGGACTGCCATCTCATACATCCACAGTGTGTAACCATACTACTTCTTTACACACCCAGAATAACATTTGTGATTGTTGATGTTTTTCCACAGACAGTCTGCATGATGCTTGTTACTCGGTGAAACAGCCCCGTAAATTCAAGCATGCCATAACAGGACATGGAGATTGTGAAATAAAAATAGGAATATTAAAGCTAAAGTGTTAGGAAAGGCACAACACAGAAAAAGCTTAGCTTTCTCTGTTGCTATTAAAACCACAGATTTGCTGTACAGAGGCACAGAACTAGCTCTCCATTCAAAGAATTTCCATGGAGATGGTTATTATTACATACATGTCAAGAGATGAGGAAGTGCACATACTTTGCACTATCACTTGGTATAGCAAAACCACTTGGCAGAGTCAGATTTTACACCCCTTCTTCTCTTGTTCAAAAATTACTCTGAATTCAGATTCACCACTATCCTCAGGCGAGGATACTTCTTACTCTTCATTCCCAATGAGGGGGAGAGAGGCCAGAGCTGGCTACAGCAGATATTTTTTTTGGAGTGTCTTTATTAAGCCCTAAGTTTCTGTTGAAGCATGCTGAAGGACAGCAGCTTCACCCAAAATTCTGTCCAAAAAAACAAACAAACACAAAAAAATCTATGCAATTCATCTCTTAGCTAAAAGATCTTGGTTCTGCAAATCAGAGACTTCCCATTTAGTAAAAACATTAAGCACTGGCAGAAAAAAAGCAGCCACGTAAGAAAACAAAGAAGAAAACAAATTTGCTCTTCAGAACTGCATCAAAGACAAGCTTACCTCTTTTTTTGATTTTTCTAATTCTTTTTGCTGTGCTTTTAATTCCTCTTTTGACCTTTCCACTTGCTCTTTCATCGCACTGTAGCTTTCAGATCTCCTGCCCTGGAACAAGTGGAGAAACAGAAAGACGTGACTCTTCCCACCTATACACAAGTGTTTACATATATTTTAGTGAAAAATATAGTTTTCTTTTATCTGAATTACAACAAATACTTGCATAAAATCAGAATAGTAGAGATAAATCTTTCCCTGTTGATTATTCTCAACTGAAGCAATAATTCAGCTATTACAAGAACATTGTAATTTCCATAGAATTTCACTGTAAGATTCACAATTGCAGAAGAAAAATACAGATGAGAAACTGAATATAATTAAAGATCTTGTCTCTGAGTATACATTTCACAAAAACCAGAACAGATAAAAAAATAAACCCTATCAGAATAAAAGTTAGTAAATGAACATGTTCGTATTTCTTCCTTTCTTTCTATCCTGCTTGATAACTTTCATTATTTTTAATATTTACCTCTTTGCTGTAAAAATAGCCGGACGGGTCTCTTCTATCTTCTTCAGTCTGAGTTACACCACATGCTGTTTCAACTTTCCTTGGCCTAGCACCATAATGTTGAGTTTTATTTTCTTCTTTTATTTTTACTATATTTTCCTTTGTTCCCAAACTTTTTTCTTTCCTCAGATCTTCATAGGAGAAACCCAAAGAATACATCAATTCTTTCAATTTGTTGTTTTCTAAAACGAAGTCAGCATTTGCTTTCTGAAACTCACCAAGTTGTTCTGCATTTTCTTTTTTAATTTGGTCTATAGCTCTTTTTAGGACACATTTTTCCTCCTGTAAGTCAGAAATAGTCTGATAACAGCTAGTTTTGCACTCCTGAAGTTCTGAGACCAAGGCCCGGTATTTATCCTGTTCACATTTTATTTCTGCCAAACTTCCCAATAAATTTTCTTTTTCACCTTCTAAAAGAGATATTCTTTTTAAGTTTCCCTCTCTCTCTTGCATTAATTCATTATACTTTGCTATATAGTTTTCCTTGTCTTGTAATAATTTAGCTATTTCTTTGAAGCATTGTCTTCTTTCTTCTTTCAGGTCAGAAAGTAGCTGAAAATATCCAATTTTCTTTCCATCTAGAGGTAAAACACTCTTAGGAAGTTTATTTAATTCAATTGTTAATGAGTCTTTCCCCAAATTCCTACTTTTCTCATCAATGTAAGAGAGATTCTTAGAGATGGTTTTAGCAAAAACTGTTCCTGGACTCTTGGTATTTCCTTCTGACACATTATAACATTTACCAACAATTTCATTCTCATTGAGTAAATTTTGAAAAGAAACATTGTTATCATCATCAACTTCTAAAGCGTACTGAAAATATGCATTCATGTCCTCTTCCAGTGCACACATCTTCTGAACACATCTCTCGTTCTCCTCTTGTAATACACAGACCTTTTTAAAGTAGTTTTCATTCTCTTGCATCAGTAGAAATATCTTCTGGGAACACATTGCCACTAATTTTTCCAATTCATATGTTTTCATATTACGCTCATGAACCGCTGCTGGTGGTGACAGGTGGCAGAAATATTCAGAAAAATTGTTCTCTGGCACGAAGTGTTTGCTTAAGCGCATGGGCCTCTTCCGCATAGGAGACAATAAGTTTAGTGGATAACCCTCTTCCTCTGACCAAGAGCATTTCTGAGAGTATGTACACCGCATGTCTTCAGCAGCAATTTCCTGACGTGAGAAATACTTCTCATTTGATTCATGTAGTTTCAGGGACTGGACTTTTTTTCCTTTCAGTCCAGTATTTCTTGAAGGGTTTATTTGGTGAGTTGCTTTCTGAGATTTCTTCTCTTCCTCTCCCATTTTTATCATGTCTCCATCTTTGCACACCCTCAACACATCAGATATGCACATTTCTGAGAGTCTTCCTTGTTTCTCCACTTGTTCAGGACTCTCTCTGAAATGCAACTGAAAGTCTTCCACATCAACAGATATTTTGTGGACACCTTGTGGAGTACCTCGTTCGCCTTTGACTTCAATTCCTTGATTCTCAGGCTTTGTCAAACCTCTCTTATTTAAAACATTAGAATTTTCCCCAAAAACAGAGGTTACCTGTTGCACTTGGGATTTCTCAGTCTGTATTTCTTCTCCTTTAATTCTCGATCTAAAGATTTTTTGGTGATATTTTCTATCACAAACACTTTTATCTGAACTTTTATTCTTACTTATGCTTTTTGGTAGAATTATTTCCTTTTGCTGATGTTTTTCCACTCTGTATTTTTGAAGAGAGGATGCAAAATTTTCCGTCACAGAGCATGGAATAGTTCCGCAAAGAGCTGTAAGAGCTTTATCAGAAAAACCTTCTTCTGTAACAACACACAGACCATCCAAGCAAAGACTGGTATTTGCCCCACTGAAATCCAAACTCCTCACTTTCTTCACTGTTGTGACAGCCTCTACCCTGTAGCTTTCTGGATTTAAGAAGATAATGTTGGGTTTGCTTCTCATCAAATCTTCAACCACAGAAACAGGGAACATTTTTGCTGGTAGAAGTATAGCTTGTTCTTTCACAAAAGAAAAGTATTCTTCATCTTTGTTTCCTTTGCTTGTTTCACCATTAGTTACTTTTTCAGAGCAAGGTGGAAGCAGGCTTGCGGCAGAATAGCTTGGGGTACATCTAAACAAATTGAAACTGTCTTCTGAAGCACCTGTAGTTTTTGTTCCTAGGGTGACCTGATAATTGCAAAGGAGATATGTTTCAAACTGAAAAATATAAACCAATGGAAATAATATTTGATTATGGACAAATGAGAAAAATATTGCCACATTAATTTTTCAAATAATTTAAAGATTTGAAATAGAATAAAGGTAAAATAAGAAGGTACAAATAGTCAATCATTTTCTTAGAGCACATTATTCACCTTGAATAACAACTTAACTAGATAGGATTTCAAATGTTTTTATGTTTGTCTTTAATTACACTAACTCTTCTTAACTCAAAATTCACAGATTCACTGTGCCCGCAAAGATGAGAATAGCAGGAACTTCTAACCAGTTTGATTTGAGCTAAACTGAGTTCTTCAGCAGCATCTGCAAGGATGTTGGAATTGTGCTCTGAAACAGGCAGCAGTTCTTCTCGTAGCCTTTCTGTCTGTTTAGGCCCATCACAGCTGTATCCTGGTGTTTCTGTTATGATAAAGCACAAGGTAAGTGTAATGGTATTCACAGGCAGTTACATGAAAAACAAACCCCCCATATTTCCGACCAGACGATTTGAATGGAAAGCATTTTGGTAAGAATATGCTCCAAACTACCTTCTCTAGCAGAAGGGCATACCATGAGTGATACAGAGACAAGGATGACATTACGCAAGAAAACATATTTCATAACACAAGTATTAAGCTCTAAATTAAGGTATATTTGGAGATTGTTCCCCCACCTTAAAGCCTTTAAAAATGAAACAAACATCTCATTACATTGAGTAGAGGAAAACTACTAACATAGTAGTCCATATATGTCCATATGTGTTAAACATAAAGGTTAAACGTAAGGGTTAAAATATTTGGTGTAGTCTGTACTTGCATAAACTGAAATTCATCATAAAGCCCACATTAATTTTAGTCAGAAAATTAACTAGATACAATTTGCCAAGATCAGAGCTTTTATGTAATGTTTAGTCTAAAAAATAAATCTGACAGCTGCACAGTGTTCCCAAACACTACATTTCAGTCTAAACTTGAAAAGTATCGCCTAACTTCTCAGCCTCTTGGCAGCTGCAGGATTTATTGAGAAAGCTCACATCTAAATCCTCACATCATACAAGTGAATAATTATTCTTCCACATTCTTAAGATACTATTTCCTGATGAGAAGGCTTTTGGAACAATTTTACCTTCTAAGTCAAGCACACCACAAGAAAGAAGTAATCTTCACTTTTGCTGCACAGAAATGAAATAAAAAAGTGCAGCTCATTTTCATACCATACTCCATGGCATGCAGCAGCACAAATGAAGTTTGAGCAGCTCTGCTTCTCTGTTGATCTGAAATTGCTCCCCTTTTCTTGTTTCGAACATCTTGCTGGTGTAGGTCTCTGTTCTTAATGAGAAAAGGGGGAAGAAATAAAAACCAGATTATAAATACACCATTCCTGATATGAAGGCACACAAGCACACAACTTTTCTTTGCTATTTTCTATTAACATTCAATAGACCAATTATTTCATCATAATTGCTACTATTCTATATACTTTTCTCATTCCAACATTTTCTAGTAAATGTCATGCTTGTTAGATTTTACCCTCATATCTCCTTGAGACTCTATAGCTACTTGAGGAAGAATATCTCAGCAGTAAGTATGCACAATATGTTGGAGCACAGAACACTAGCAAGGCAGAATCTAATCGATACGTTGTCCATTAACAAAGGGAAAGAGACTAACAGTTCTATGCCCTGCACTGTGCAGGCTATGAAGATAAATGTTTCTATATTGGAATAGCTCTTTAGAAAAGATAGAATAGTTGTTTGGAAAAAAAATTGTCTTCAGTCAGTAATTTAATTATAAAATTCAGATTCTCTTCTCAAAATCTATCTTCAGTATCAGATTGAATTTGGGTGCAAGGACAATTTCTGGTGCAAAGCAGATACCCTTAATGTCTGATACACTGCAGATCATGTTTCACATGTGCCATGCTTATTCTTAGTGAATAATCCGATTTGATTTCCTTGACAAAAAACATAATTGAGACTGTAGCCAAAGCAGCAACAGAACAGAAACCAAGACAACAGAGTCATTTTTGTCTTCCCACAGTGTTTTGCATCAAATGCCAGCTGAAAAAAAAACCTCAGCAGATCAGGACTGAGCTGCAGCTTTATAGTTACACGCAGATGGAAAAAGCAGCAACTTCAAAATGGGTCTGCAAATGCCACTTGGTTTTCCTCTCAATAATCAATGAGCATAATTTTGATTTCAACCCAAGCCATATCCTGCGTTATTGTGCCCTCTTATGTCTTGTCTGGGTGGCATGATTTGTGTGGAAACCACAATAATTCCAGATTTCTTCCATCTTTTTCTCAGTGATAATGAAGCTTATGTTAATTCCTTGGAAAACACTCATTCTTTTCATGCAAGTTTGCCTCTATTTCTTCCCAAATATATATTCTTTAGCAATATGGGGGTTCTAGCAGAAGACTGTTATTTAAAATAATGAAAAAGACACAATGCTTGGATGCCTGGAACACCACAAAAATCAAACCTCCAACTCTCATCTGAGAGCTGTAGAGAAGTGTATGGCTCGGTGTTTCTTAACATTCCTTCACTAAGATCTTGAATAGACCTCTAATGTGAATATCCAGAAATTTTCTGATAAATAAAGACATTGGTACATGGCACTAGCTACTTTTTTGGGCATTTTTCATTCAGGCATAAGCTGCAGTTGGAACACAGACAAAAAAACAGACAAGATTCTGGAAATTAAATTTTCTTATGAGATTTATGTGACTGTACTCCTCCATGAGATTCAGTTCACATCCATGGTACCAGATCAAAACACCTAATTGAGTTAAATATTAGTGCATATACAATATACAATAATGATCAGGGAATAATTTTCAAGTATTGTTGATGAGCTTGTCATTTGATACAATATTTACTGAGGAATCTCAGATGTTTTGTATTTCATATGGGTTCTGATAAGCCTGTCTTCATAAAACACATTTTTCCTAGCTGCAGAATGGACATATGACCCTACTCACTCTTTCAGTGAAAAATGATGTATCAGAAACGTTCCAGAAAAAAAGCAGCATGAAACTTTCTCTTGTTATGCATATAACTCCTAATTTTTAAAGCTGGTGATGGAGTATGATGAGCTTAAATAGGATTTCTTTTAATGTAACTATTTTGGCTTGAATACTGCAAGACCAGTGTAATGAGATTTGGAAATTTTATTAACAACAACTAAAATGAATCTGAGTCTAAGGCAAAAAAAAATATACCTCTTCAGTTTTACTATACAACACCAGAGGTCTCCCTCATCCCTTTAGAACAGAAATCGAATTTTTTTTCCAGACTGTTTGAGAGCAAAATTTTCTACTGGAAAAATCCAGGTGAATCTGTAATAGTACTGAAAGCAAAGGAAAATGCAGTGCACAAGGCTTGATGCTGTGTAACACAACAAGGAACAAGGGTTTTTGTGCATCAGAACAAAATACACTGGCTTAATATATACTTTGGCATGCTTGTGTATACCATAGACTACCTAAATTCCTAACACAACACAGCCATACATTAATAGTTGGAAAAGAAATGGTTAGAAAGCTTGGTGAAGGAAAAAAACCTTTTCACCATAGTACAGAATGGAATGATGGAGACATGGCCCCGTTTCTCAAAGACATTCTGCATTAGTCTTGGGCAATTGGTCATCTTGCCCTCACACCTCCAATTCAATATTTACTTTTTCCCTTTCTCAGATTTTTGAAAGTAATTCTTCACTACTTATTTTCTGGCTCTGAAAGCCACCATCCCCCCTGGTTTTAGCTGGGCAGTTCCCTCACAGTGCACTCGGTTGTGGTACCTGTGTACAACTCAGTGCAACTCGTTCTAAATACATCTTAAGATAGGGACATTTTCAAACCTTCATTCTTCAGTGAACTCACTAGGGAAAGCACCTGTAGCAATGGTTCAGACTTATAAAAACAAGTACAGTTGCAAGTCCTTCTGCCAACCCAGGAGAAAAGGAGCTAAGGAGAAAACATATCTTCTAAGCTATCCTCAGAGTTCATGCATGCTGCCAGTTCCAGAAGGATCTTAACATTCTTCGTCTCACTTGATTGTGACTGAAGAGTTAGAAATGGAACCAAATCACTATGTCTGTAAAGATGCATTCAAATACCAGGTTAAAAACTTCATCTTGATTTCTTTTTAAACTTTTAAGCAGACAGTCCTCTCTACCTTCTCCCAGTTCTGAAAGTACTCACAGTATGTTTGTTCTCCTACACTAAAGAGGTTTTGTTTGTGTTTGTTACCTCCAGATAACTGCACATAATATCAGGAGAGTTTTAAGAATATCAGGTCACAATCTGAATGGGTAGCCGAGCATGAGGCTGAACTGATTTCACTTTATTTAACAAGTCCTCAGAATAAAAATACCACCTATCCCAGTGCATAAATAATAAAACCTTGTTTGTGTCTTCTCCATGAAACTATTCACTGTCAGCAAAATGAATTGGCAGAAGCTGAATGTCATATTGCAGCATATTAGAGCTTTCCCAGGCATTGCTGGAGTGAACTGCTTGAAGCAAAGAAATCCTATTCAATGTATTCAGAGCACATCACAATGCTGGGGAGCTGCAAAGCACTGAATATCTCAACTCACAGACTTGAATATAGTATCTATCTCCTCTTGTGCTCCATTATCCAGAAAATCTCATGAGCAAGATATTTTTCTCAGCTGTGCTTTTTTCCTTCAGCAGTCAGGCATGAATAAGATGTGAATACTCACCCAACCATGCATGCACTCTTCATCTGGATGGTGTCCATGAGACAGATGCCTCAGAAGTTCTTCTGGGTTCTACTTTTGATGCCAACAAAGACCTTTTGCCTTAGGCACATCACTTGAAAACTTAAGGAAACAAGGTTTGTGAAGTGCCTTCAATATACACCTAATAAAAGCAGTGATGCACTGAAACACCAGCTGCTAGTTCCAATTGGTGTGAATTAGACACTGAAATTTCAATACATCAACAGAAATAAAGGAAACAAATACAGGAAGGAAAAAGCCTCAGGGTTACATCTCCTCTGCATACCTAATGAAAAGTATAAAAGGTATCTGGGGTGATATAAAGATGAAACTTTATTGTATTTTGCTTTACTTTTACTTACCAGGTCAGCACTGTTGTCTGCATTTTCTGGTCTTGTAAGCTGTGAGTCCTTTTCTTCTTTCTTTTTTAACCTCACCCTAGCTTGATATTTTAAAGACTTGTTTTCATTCAGAAGCTTGTTCACTTGTTCCTGTAGTTTGATTTCAGATAGTTTCAGATTATAGACATGATGACAAGATTCTTCCAATTTTCTCCTGAGAAAGTCTTCAGTGTCCTGGGAGCACTGAAGCTGAGCCAGCAGGTCTGCTCTTTCTCTTCTGTTGTCCTCCTCTTTATCCCTTAAGAACTTCAGATTTTTCTGAAATGACTCAAAGTGGCTTTTCATGTCATGCTCCACATTTCCAATGGAGTTTTTCAATTCTGTGAGTTGCATATTAGAAGGTTTACAGCTCTGCAGGCCTTTGGATGCTGATTCCAGCTTCTTCTGGAGACCCTGTGCCATTCCCTCTCCTAACTCAGAGGTCAAAAGAGCAGTATGGGCACTGAGATCTAGCACTTGTTTTTCCAGTCTAAACACCTCACCCTGTAGGTAACATTCCCTTTTTCTCAGCACTGCTGTCTGTTGCTTCTGCCTTTGTTTGTAGTGCTCAAAGTACTCAGATTGGCTTTTTAGTTCATTTTCTTTTGTCTTCAGCTGCTCTAGAAGCCAATGCAATTTCTCCTTTTGTTTCTTCTCTGACTTCTCTTGGTTTTCAACCTAAAATTTTAGTGATTTGTACAGTTAACAACTTCATATCAAATCTAATCTTCTCTTATCTTTTTTTCTTAATTTTGCAATATTTTTACCCCTTTTTTCCCCTGAAAACTCAGGGGAAATATAGGAAATAGGAAGAAAACATAACAAGAAAAACACCTCAAATCAAAAACTACCCACTTTTTTTTTGCATGTTCTACAAGAACTGTTAAATAAAAAGCAATTTTGAACTGAAATGCATACAACCAGCTCTGAACAACACAGTAACATATCCCATACACTGATACTGGTATGACACTGAGATGTTACAGACAGAGAGGTCATGGTTCTATTGAATAAAAGAGAACACACACTTTTATAAGAAACAAAGTTTTTGCCCTTTGCCCTTCCCCATACCTGTCATCTGTCAAATCCTTTTATGAGCCCATGGTAAAAGAAGAAAGGAACAGATGCCTTTTGAATCAGTTTCAGAAAGACTTTAGTATTTTGGTTTGCATCAAACTGTGCTTGAACACAGAGACACAGAAAGGTGAAAAAGGTCAATGGAAGGCGGAGAATGCTTTCGTGATTCACATGCTGCCCTTGTTTAGAGCCACCAGTATCACACTGTCATTATGACAACATTTAAGTAAGACTGGGGCATTGAGACATTGCTGTATTCCCTGAAGCTGAGCAGCTGAATTTTGTACAGAAAACAGGCTGTTATGGTTGCATTGTGCTGCTGTGTAATGGATGGTGGGGATTAAAAATGATTTAATGTGGGGCCAGAAGAATAAAGCCTAATTCATGGAAAAAGAATGTGTTGACTTGGGAGCAGGTATCCCAAAGTTCAATGGCTCAAATGGCAGCAGTAACAGTTGTTTGTTTGTTTGTTTTTGACAGTGCTGTCAAAGCAATTAGAGAAATAGAAAGTGAGGCACAGAGAGAAAATAATTCTTCTGATTCCCCTGGTTTTACAAAAAAAAAAAAAAAAAAAAAAAAAAAAAAGAAAGCCTGAAATGATGTATTGTGTGAAAACAGGTCACTGGAGAGGAGACTGACTTATAAACTACTGCCTTAAAGAGAACTTGAACTAGGTCATTTGAAACAATATCCTCCTTACCAAGCTCAGCAGCTCTTCCCAAACTTCTCGCAGTTTCCCTTTAACACGCACATTTGCATTTTCAAAATGGTGCACTTTCATGTTTAGTTGATCAATCGTTACAAGAAGTGTTTTGTGTGACAGCTCCAGCTCTTTCATCCTGTTATATTGAAAATGAAGATCTTTGCTGAGTAAATGGTGTAGTCCAGATGGATAAGCTGTCATCATCAATATATTGACGATGGGGCAGAATGGCGAGGCCAGACTCTTTTCAGTGGTGAGTGGAGACAGGACAAGGGGAAACGGCTGGAAACTGCAGCATAGGAAGTTCTGCACAAATGTGTGCAAGAACTTCTTTACAGTGAGGTGACGGAGCACTGGAACAGGCTGCCCAGGGAGGTGGTGGAGTCTCCTTCTCTGGAGATGTTCAAGACCTGCCTGGATGCCGACCTGTGCGACCTGCTGTAGGGAACCTGCTTTGGCAGGGGGGTTGGACTCGATGATCTCTGGAGGTCCCTTCCAACCCCTACAATTCTGTGATTCTGTGATTCTGTGATATCAATTTATTTTTATTTTCCCATTTTTCTCTCAGCAATAAGATAGCTTTTTTGATTGCTACAAATAAACATCATCAAAAAGAGTCTACTGGGGTTTTTTCTCTGGAGACTGTCAAAGATGTTAAAGATAATGTTGGTGTTCATTCTTTCTTGGCACGTTTAGCATGAAAACCATAAATAATCACATTAATGGAGATAATGTTGACTGAAGTTTTCTGTGTTATGCAAAGTAAACACCATAAAGATAACCACAGCTCTAGTCTCTACATCTATCCAGTCACTGGGTTTTGCTAGATTCATGGCTAGGAAATTTGGATTTTATTATCCATTTAACTCTCTGGCTTTGTTAAGAATAGTGCAATTGCAAGGCACCACTTGATCTTATTCTAGTCAACTACATAATTAATGCTTATTTAGCTACAGCAATGATTAGCATTAACATACTAAGCTACACACATCTATTTGAAACTGTAATTTTTTTATATAGCACAAAACTTTAAATTTAAATATAAGTGTATCTTTCTGCTCCAAAATTAACTTTTAAAACTTCTTAAAAGTGATATAATCTGCAAGCAGAATTTACACCTTAAGAATATTTAAGGATGAAGTATCCTGAAAAAGCTGTCTGGTTACAGAGTCTACATCAAGATACAAAACTGATTAAAATAATAGAAGCAAAAATTTGAATAGTGTATTTCTATTCTGAAAGCTACACAAAACATTCAGAAACTCATTTTATTAGCCATTCCAAAGATTCTTAGAGCTAATTTGCTAATTTTGCACATATTTCTTGATGTCTTCTACGTGCAAAAAAAAAAAAAAAAAAAGTTATTTACCTATTTCTTAGCACAGAATCTGACTCCATGTAGTCCTCTAAAGTGTGTTTCAGTTTTTGCTCCAATTTCTCCAGCTCTTTTATTCTGAGGTTCAAATTCTCTTGTCCAGCACTTCTTTCTTGCTCATCAGGTATGCTTGCATCTTCTAAATCCTGGGAAATCCAAGAACTATCGATGTTAACATTAAAATGCAGAACATCAAATCCTTCATCACTGAGCATTTTAATACAGTAACAAAATTCTTGTTCTCTAGCAGTTGAAGGGTCTGTGATGAAAATAATCATTTAAGTTCTCATGTACTGCAGTCTGAGTATGCAATAAGAGGCTAAGCCTCCCTAAAGATCAAATTAACAGTCCTCAGTTCTGAAAACATATATTATTTATAAGAGAGTCTTATTTCACTAACCTCAAAGTAATTCAGCATGTACAAAAGGAGTTGCAGATCTTTATAAAAAGTACAACTACATTAATTCAGGAAGGCATTAGGTATCAAACTTTTGAAATGGGGATTGTTTTGTACTAAATAGAGCAGCTGATAACATGGAGCACTTATATAACAAAGGATATTTTTTTGGAAAAATCTTTGATATTTTTATTATTTTAAGACAAAAGATTAATGCCTAAAAAGGAACCTTCAAACTTGAGCTTTCAAAGTCTGTTTATTTCCATTGCCTCCTTCAGCAACAGCTCTAAAAGTTCCTCAGTCCACAGTTCAGCTTCATTTACACGATCTGTTCTCAGTAAAGAACAATCCTAAAACTGATACCTGAGAAATGCCACAGCTTTCATTCTGTGAACCAATTTTTACTGATTTGAAATTGGACCTGTAATAGTAAGGAATATACTGGCATTTGAACTTCTCAACGAAATAATGCAATTAATTTTTTGTGTATGTTTTATTGCTTGCTTTCGTATTTTGTTTTTTTTTTTTCTTCCAAATGCTGCACTGAGGAAAAAAAAAAAAAAAGTACCATTTACTTTTGGCACTGAAGAGAAGAAAATAGCACCAAATTGGTGCAAAAAAGAATGAACAGCTTTATTATTGTCCACATTTTCATGTGAGTTATCCACATATGTGGCGAATTACAGAAAATGGTGTTATTTTGCTACTGTATTACTCTCTGGCTTTATGTCAGCTACATAAAGACTTAGACCTGAAAAGGTTCTGCCACTCCCCAGTCCTTTGAGAAACTATGATACCTAAAAGCTAGAAGCACAGATAGGAAAATAACGTGTAAATCCACATTGACAACAAAGTTCAAATCCCTATGTCATCTTCTCTTGACTTACCAGCCCAAGTCTCTCCTCAGAGACCATGGGACCTGTAAATACAAACACCTTTTTTCCCTGGCACGTGGAACAGTATCTTTGCTTTGAGCTCCTTGAACCACTATCAAATTCTGTGCAAAAATTATTTGTGAAATGAACAAATATCTTGCTCTCCTACAATGGGCAACCCCACGTACTACTACATAAGAAATTTAAAGTAATTATGGACACAACTGCTCTGCATGTTAACACGTTAACATCAGAAGCTAAATTAATACGATTTTCAGCTCTGCCCCAGGCTGCTATCCAACTCATGAGCTGTAGAAGGAAGATTTCTCAGACATACACTTTGCAGAAAGTAGCTACCAGATAAAAAAAGATAGATCAGGTGGGAATTAAATTCACACTTAATGTAGATATACAGATTTCTACTCACGTTGTATTTTGTTACTCTTAAGTGGGCTTTTATTCACTAGAATAAATATACTGAAAGTGAATACAGTAATTTCTACAGTTGATTTTTATCTTCACGATCCAGGAGGCCTCTATATTTCTTATGCTTTGTTCTGAAAAGTACTTAGTACTGCAGCATAAAACCAGAAATTTCTGATCTCAGAAATCAGAAACTTTTTGTTTTCCACTTTGCTCATATATCTGGGAGAGATGACTTAAAATCTGTCACAGAAAGTAAAAATCAGGTGTAGCATCTTTCATGGCCTGAGTACCTTAAGCCTCTTCTCATTTCTACGTTTGATATCAATGTGCAATGCATAGTAAGACTGAAATGATACACCCAGTTTTTCAGAAGCACAAACCTGTTACTTCAAGATAGGATAAAAGCATCGTAATGTCATATGGAAAATCTCACTCAAATCAGACAGGTTTTTTTTGTTTTAGGAACTTGTCACACAAATTACAATTCAATAAAACACATAAAAGTTAATAAAACCGATCATACCTTTTCTGCTTTGTAACAAGACCATCTCCTGTCCTTGCAGAGCACTTAATGTTGCAGTCACGTGTTGAGTGATCATTTGTCTATGCTTCCAGTTTAATTTCCAAATAAGAGAGGAGCAAAGCTATGTCTGGTAGAACAGCGCTTCTTCCCCAAGTCAATCCAATCTCTTCCCAATTTCTGTCGCATCACCAGTTTCTGTTTTGGTTATCCAAAGCTCTGATTACAACTGTTATGGTCTCTCTTCAGAATAAAGACAAAACTTTTCCTTTTGCAGTAAAGAGCTAATTTTTCCATATTCAGTTATTATAGTGCTAAAAAGTTTTAACTAAAATATGAAAAGTCTCTATTTGAAAACACATTTTGTGAATGCTTGTTCCTTTTTGAACCAAACATTGTGAGCAACAGAATCTTTCTCTAAAAAAACCTCTAAAGTTTCTAACTTTTTTTGTGCTTTGTGCCAGGAAACAGGATTTGTCAGACACTCAAATCATCCCCAGTTCATGACATCTGACTGAAATAATGTTGTCGAGTGCTCCAGCTACTTCAGCAGATAAATCATCTTGGCTGGTGATTTTTCATCTCTGATGAAAAAAATCATACTTCAGAGCCTAAAAGATTTGAGAGAGCTGGCTTCTTCTGAAGCTGCTTCTTGCTCCTCCAAAAGGGAGATATTCAGTTGCTAAGATAAATCTGTTCTTTATTTGTGTTGCCTTGATGGTTCCTTGCCTTATTTTTTTTTTAATTATAACTTTCACTTTATCCAATATATTACCATAACCATCTTATTCCGCTCTACTTTTGTGTTTGAGTTCAGCATATTCGTGGAAGCAGACCTGCCCCTCTGTCATTTTCAACACAGCCCTTTTTAAAATAAAGATTTTCCATACAATTCTGAGGAGAAAGTTGTCTTTAAATGTTGTGCTTTTAATAATATTGTCAACTTGCCTCTACATTCCAGAATAATCAAAATTACCTATTTCTTCACAATGTCCTTCCAGCCCTGAAAGAGCAAATTGGGTTTTTCTTTCAAGAAAAGAAAAACAACCTTCTTGAATTTTTCTTACGGTTCTCCATCTTAAACAACTGTTTTCAACTTTGATTTTTTTCAATCTGTGCTTCACAAGAAGTTTTTCTTGCAGTTCAGGTGGTTAATGTCCTTGACTGTGTATATCCAGCTCTGCTGGCTGCAATTGTGCCATTTTTTCTTCCTGGTCGCTAATGTCAACTTTCTTTTGTGAGGATAAAATTTTCCCAGATATTTCTCTGCAAATGCTTATCTGTTTAGCACATTCATCTATACACCCATATCTTCAAGTCTTTCTTTCTTCCTAAGAGATAACTGAGGACAACACACCATGCATTCTGTTTTCCTGACCTCTCAGTCCATCTCATGATCCTCCATTCTCCCAGGGCTATCTTCACAAATTATTTCTTAATTTTCTGGGAACGTTCAAAAATTCACTTCTGCCTTGCAGCTCTTACCCACTTCCAAGATCTTCTAGTCCAATCTAATACCCTGCCTTATCTCCAAACTCTACATCTTCTCCACTTGTGAATTTCCAACTTATGAATTGAATATGAATTTTGTCACTGCGGGGCTTCAAATCTCTCTTTGTTTTCAACGCAGAACAGTTTTTGGTTTTTTTTTCTCTTTTTTTTTTTTTTTGCTTTTTTTTTTTTAACCTGTCAGATATTTACTACAGAGAATTTATTGTCAAACACTTATCTTTTTAATATGGATACTAAAAAGGAGATTTTGTGTTACCTGCGTGAAATGCAAACGACATTTGTTGAAAGCATGCAGTATGGAGACAAAGATCTCAGTACTGTAAGAAAACTATTTGGTAGAGAACAGTTCACATAGCATCCAGTAATTGCACTTGGTTTTTTTTTCCAGTGTTTGATTGGTGTGTGAGTGTAAATTCTCTTTATACTTTTTTCAGTGTGTATGATGTGCTGGTCCCTATTTGATTATGAAATCATTCCAGCCTGAAGCTATAGATTTAAAAAAAACTCTAATTGTAAGTTCAAATATTTTGCAGCTTCAAGTATTATGCAAACACTTGTGAAAAAATGCACCAATTTAAAGCTGCTCAATAAATGTTTTCTATATTTTTGCATGTGGACTCAGCTGTTCACTCCATAGGTTCTTTTAATAACCTGGGTAATAAAAGAAAAAAAAAAAAAAAAGAGAAAAAAAATGTATTCTTAGCTTCAGATAGATAAAATTAACTTTGTAATAAATGTTGGCATTCACGCCCATCAAAAAGTCTTCCTAAAAGTTTAATGTTAGCTTAAAAATAACAAGAACAAAACTGCCATTAGCAAACAAACCAGTTTGACTAGCAATATGGAAGAATGTTTAAGAGTCTCACCAACAAGAAACCATAGTTAGATTTCTTAAAATGGTCTTTGCTGCGTTACGTTATTCAGGGATAGATTAACTGCTGGCAAAACAAATTAAAGGAAATTGTCTTCCACACTAGAGTTTTGATATGCCATGAACCCCTGGAAATCTGGAGTGGCTTTATGACTGCCCAGCCATGGTAAACGGCACATAATTCAGAACAGATTTCAAAGAAGGAAAAGATTTGAAAAACTGCAAAAGTGTCATAATTTTCAGTTTAAAAAAAAAAAAATCAGTGGTTTTAAACCACATCTTAATCCTCTGTCACTAAGGCTGTGAAAAGGAGCAGGAAATTTACATTGCTCCATGGAAGTAGGACTGATTTTATTCTAATCTCTCTTTCTTGTTCTGTGTGAAAGGTAAGCCACTGTAGCTATAGTGCTGCTACAGCTAAAGAAATTCTCTCTGTCCTTTGCACTGTGAATGGGGCAGTGGGAATTACAGTTATGTCTAAAAAAAGACAGATTTCTTAGTCTCATCCTTACTGTGTTCACAAGCACAAAGAAGGTCAGTCATACTTCTTCCCATCATCTCATAATAGAAAATTGAGTTATTTATTTTTAATTTACTTCGTGGCTTCAAGGCTTTTAAGAAAGTAAAATGAAACTTTTTTGTATAGTTACAGGACTTTTAGAAAATACAACTGAAAACCAAACACAGGACGGGAGACAGAATCTTACAGTAATAGTTGAACTTCAAGATTAAAATGTACCTGCTCTACAGAATTGAGAAGTACCCACTGCAGTTCAGACACTCAATATCTTAGAATGCAAAACCAATTCTTGTTGAAAAAAGAATGATTTTCTGCAGAAGGCTAGGAAGTTAATAGAAGGCATCAATTTGGATCTTACAAGGGACTCTTCCTGTATGTGCAAGCAAAACCAGTAAATGCTTTCCCAGGGTTTCAAAGCCTTACAAAGATGATTCTAAAAACATACCAAAATCCAAGAGCTAAAAATTGAGTACAAAACAATATAAAGAATACCAACCACATGTCTTGGCTCAGTTGTGTCATCAAGGCCACAGAATGAATGCTAGTGAAAAAAACAAAAAAAGGAACAAAAACTATAAAATAAGATCAAAAGAAAATGAGGAAAAAAGAAAAAGAAGAAGATGTAAGATATGTAACAAGAAATCCAGTGACATAATTTAACAGCAGTTAATTTACATTAATACTAATTGATTGGGCCTGAAAGATCGGTATACAAATTTGACTCTGAAAAGAGGAAAGAGGGTGCAAAATTCATTATCTTAGGATAGCTTTTGCAAACAGTAACATCTGTAGTTTATGTACAATTCAGAAAAATCAGGCTTAGCTCTGTGACTTAGTCAAGTACGTACTCATAATAACATGCCTGAAAGATTTCCTGCAAGAAAACTTACCCAGACATGGGTAAAAACCATATGCAACTTCAAGGCCAGAGACTCAGTTGTGAGAAAAGCTCAATATGTTTAAACAACTCTTGCTCCTCATGCACTGGCAGGTAGAATGAAACTGAGACTTAACATTATTGTTCTGATAGCCTCTGGAAACAGGACAGTTTGCTGAAGAATCTACAGGGTAAAAATACTGCCATTCTTATCTTCTCATTTGAAAGCATTTTACATTATACTTAAAAATTGAATAAATTCCTGAGGGAAAATAAAAATTCATACTAATGAAGAAGTAACTATAAGCAACGTGCTGCCCATAGCTCCAGCCAGTAACTGGGCTCCATTATCAAAACTGCCCTTCCTTCAAAAGAAAGAATTTCCCTCCCCAGGAAGTCATCGTGCTCAGTGTCAGTGTCATGTAAATGTCATTCTCCATTCACTTACATTTTAAGCCTTAAAAAGAGCAATGAAGTAGAAGTGTATCATTCATTGATTTCCTGACAATACAAATTTCTTTCAGGCATTCAAATTCTGAATGAGACTTCATTTCAAGAAAAAGCTGTAAAGGTAATATATATAGAAGGAAACCCTGCACTTATCTAGGAGTAGAAGATGAAACCTTGAGAGGTCTCCTGTCAATGTGACATTAAGAGAGAAAACATTAACAATTTTAACTCATTCCCAGCTTTCTGTTCAGATCGTGATTATAGTATTTCTTTTCCAATACTTTTCCCCAAACATTGCACATAAGAGCCAGCACAGATTATGCTAACTGCTATTTTCCAGTTTACCACAAGCTGTCTCACCTAGTATCTATGCTACAAACTGTAATGGTTTACATTTCGGTAGTAGTAACATTAAGAGATTTTATTTATTTTTTCACAGTTGTGAGATTTGCTAAGCATTACCCATGGAACAGGAGGAACATAGCCTCTTCTGTCAAATAAACAAATCATAATGCTGTTATTTGACTTAAACTACAGGAAAAAAATCCTCCTTGTTTTAGTCTAATGACTTCCCTACTTGACAGAGAAACCAAAACAGCAGATGATCATGAGTTTATGAGGGACAGAGCTTTGTTTATTGCAATAAGGACTTGAACTAAAATTTGATCTTTCTTGTATTAAAATAGATCTCTTAAGAGTAGGTTAAATCCTATTACCATCAGTGTAACTGGGAAAAATCAGTACGAGAAGGAAAATCATTGTTATTGACCAGGTTTACCTTTTCCTCAATTTCTTTGAGTTGCCTTTTTTGAAGTTCTATTTTATCTTCTAGTTCTCGAATCCTCTGGAACAAAAAAAAGTTAAATAGATCTTATAGTATCTACTTTGGAAAGCATATGAATCAAAAATATGTTAAATAGCTTAAACACAAGAATAAATACCCTTTATTAATGTAGTACTTCCTGCTCAGTTATACTAGTCGTGCAGATGGCAGGATTGTTCCACATTTCCATAAAACAGCATTTTAAACAAGCTGTGTCTTCATATCATCTTGTTTACTACCAGGTTGTCTAAACTCACCACTCATAAATCATACTTTTAAGATACATATAGAGATAAGGCCAGTTAGCACCAAAATTCCAAGAAGTACAACAAGACTGCTTTCTCTGTAACTGCCAGAAAGTTTTTTTTTTTTACTTATCTACAGAGTCAGCTTATGACACTGTTATATTTTAACACTCCACTTTCCTTTCCTGTAAAACATGACTATGCTTCTGAGATATTTCTGTTATACCAGAAAAAATAAGCATGCTTAGACTTTCATTTCACCACCAAGATGCCATTCTGACATTCAAACCCTTTATTATGCTGACCTTCTCCCACCAGCATCAGAGAGAATATCTCCACTACAGCTCTCTCTAACTTCAAGTACCCTACTTGTTCAAAGCATCTCCAAAAATATGATTGTTGTTGGGTCCACACATCTGAACTTATTTCTGCTCCCCTTTCCTTTCTGTAAGTTCCCTCTTTTTTTTTTTTCTTTTTTTTAATAATAAGTTTACTGGGCTTTTAGATTAAGAGGATGCATTTTATTAGTACGTTTAGTATATAGTAGACTTTATAAAGTTCATGAACTCTTTTTACAGGTAGAAATCTGGGATCTCCTACTAACAGCTTCTGGGAATGAAGGAGCAACTTTTTAAATTATCAGCTCTTTGGAATTAACTGCCTGACCTCTCCCTGGCCTATAAAAATTAAGGTTATTAGCAGTTCCTGAACTTTGAAAGGAAAATTATCTTACGGTCTAATTTCTGTGCACACGTTAATAAATTGAACATAAGAGCTGCTGCACCACTCCCAAGTTATTTTATTGTTATTTTATTATTTTATCCATTTGAACAGTATATCTTTCAGAAAAGCAACTAGTCAGTACTTATACATCAGTGAGATCAAATGAAGGTTTGACTCATTCATCTGCTTTCAACTCAAGGACTTCCAATGGTGGGAAATGCCTGACCCTCACAGCAACCCACAACATTCCTAGCAGCAGCAACTGATCCCAGTACTATTCAGCATTGCTTTAGGAACCACAACGCCTAGGGTTTAACCTTTTGAATCTAACCTGGAGATATCCCAAAAGATGAGGTACGTCCACCCCACAGCTCAGCATGCCCACAGCTGTTGCCATAAAAATATTGCAGGCAGGTTGCAAACAATAATCTTGATATTACTGCTGCTTTTTTAAAGAAAAGACTTTGTTTCAATGATTGTTTTGAACACTGTGCAGTTGGATTAAGTTAATCAAAACCCTCCCACCATAATGTGCCACATCACTCAGAGATTTCCCCAGATAATATAAATGCACAAACCAGATTGCCCTCACATGACATAAGTGCAT